AATTAGTTTAAGGCGCGTTACGTGTTTGTTTGGTATGGTTTAAACCTAACAAAGCGTTAATAACTACCTCTCTTTTCTGACGCTACCCATGTCCATGAAATATTAGTAATGATTGTAGCTGTACAGATGGATTATTAGAGTCAGCACCACCGTCAGACCACCACTGCTACCGGCAGCATCGAGGTCATTGGATTACACGCAACGATTGAAAAAAAAGAGTTTTCTGTCTATTATTCTACGTGGTTGGTGCGAGTCGTTCGTCACTTCTGCATCCACGTTATCATGCCATCTTTTGGCGCAACTTTTAGCAGATATTAGAGCATCCTTTCATAAATAATCACTAGACCTTTTCATAAGTCATTAGACGCTTGATCAGGACCTGGTTGTACTTCTTTATTAACCGAATGTTGTTACATTCATGCTATTGTACCATACTCGCCTTGGTGTGCAGTTTTCCAATTTCTACCGCTTTTTTTCACTCTACACGTATATGTGCTATCTAATCTGCGCTAAAAATTGCTGAACTGGCAAATAAAACAGTCTGAACGATCCACAAGACTCACGAGTCTCTTTTCCACTGCAGCTGAACTTATTCGCGAGTTAGCAGGCCCTCTGCTGATAGCACTCACGTTATCCATAAACCGGAATGATGTAAATAATGACTAAATGTCTGTTAGATAATTTCTGCTGAACTTTCGAACGACGATGACTTCGTATCGACCATACATGATTAGGGCCTCTTACAGCATAGAAATGCCACGAGGGAGTGAAACACAGGAATACGCTCAACGTGGAAAGAAGAACGTTTAATGAATTTTTGTAGTGAGTAGCGCCAGACCACCGACCAGCATTGCCGTAGTCTGGCTTTATCCCGACGAAAGTGAGTGAGTGACTCAATGACTCAGTTGCGTCAAATTTTCTGTGAATCCATTAGACGACAGCTAGGTTGTACCGATAGGAAGCTAAGCTGTTTTGCCTTGAGGATGTTCATTCCAGTACAATGACTATCGCATTCTTGAAACTTGCTAGATTGACAAAATATTCAAGAAGATACGCAGAATTGCTCCAATCTTGAACTGTTAGCGAACAGGCAGCTGCCCTATGCAGTTTTGCTTCTTTATGCACTTGTATTCGATATCTTGTTATAGTTAGGACTAGTGCAGCTTGGCAAAAACCGTGACCGTAAAACACAGATCAAAGCCATCGGCCTTGTGCACATGCCTGCAGTCATCCTGTCCCATCGAACTGCAGCAATTTACTTTGAAGAACTAAGTAGAAGATCAATGGGAGTATTCATCCTCATAATCAGCCGTCATTTTTCTCAAAAAGTAGACGGCATGATATATTATTAACCGCGTTTGAGCTATTATTGTAACATGAATGTTGTTTGGGTATGTTCAGGATATGAAGTCGTTCGTCAATTATGGTCTAAATATTTCCCTTTATCGACCTCAGAATCAGTCGCTGAGTACTATTTTCTGACGGCACGAAGATTCTTTTTCAGCGTGACAAAAATATTGTTTATGAAGGTTTCTAATATTCAATTCAACTATCAATGAGTCAGGGAAAGTCAAAGATTCGTGGTTACGAGCGACCACGGTTTTGCACAACATCATAAATTTAGCCCGCTCGTAACGTTGTGCGCTTGTATCATGAAAAATACCTCGTAGCGCACCGAGGAGCATTACCGACATACATTTCTGCATAGATGACGAAGCCAGTTGGAACTGTTATTGAGAGTAGACAATCGGGAAACGGAGCAAAATTCCGTGAAGAATGCTATCCTCATTTGCGACGGTAGACAGAAAGGACTTTGGCCGACCTTGAAGAGGTTAGTTAACCAATGCAACCAAGATATTTAAGCTCCACCATGGTGCTTGCCTCTTCGTGACTTGTGAGGCAAATCTGTAGAGAAGGGTGGTAGTGTTCCACAAGGTACTGGCGAATGAATAAGGGTTACCGCAT